TCTAGATCCCGAAATCCCTAGATCCCCAAATTTTCCTCGATTCCCAAATTTTCCTAAATCCCCAAATCTCTAGATTCCGAAATCTCTAAATCCCGAAATCCCTAGATCCCCAAATCTTCCTAGAATCCCAAATTTCCCTAAATCCCCAAATCTCTAGATCCCGAAATCCCTAGATCCCCAAATTTCCCTAGATTCCCAAGTTTTCTTAAATCCCCAAATCCCTAAATTCCGAAATCTCTAAATCTCGAAATCCCTACATCCCCAAATCTTCCTAGAATCCCAAATTTCCCTAAATCCCCAAATCTCTAGATCCCGAAATCCCTAGATCCCCAAATTTCCCTAGATTCCCAAATTTTCTTAAATCCCCAAATCCCTAAATTCCGAAATCTCTAAATCTCGAAATCCCTACATCCCCAAATCTTCCTAGAATCCCAAATTTCCCTAAATCCCCAAATCTCTAGATCCCGAAATCCCTAGATTCCCAAATTTCCCTAAATCCCCCAAATTTCTAGATCCCGAAATCCCTAGATCCCCAAATTTCCCTAAATCCCGAAATCCCTAGATTCCGAAATCTCCAGATCCCGAAATCCCTAGAGTTCCAAATTTCTCTAAATCCCCAAATCCCTCAATTCCGAAATCCCCAGATTCCAAATTTCTCTAGATTCTCAAATTTTCCTAGATCCCCAAATTTCCCTAGATCCCTAAATTTCCATAGTTTCCCAAATTTTCCTACTTCCCAAATTTCCCTAGATCTCAAAATCCCAAAATTCCTAAAATCCAGAATTCCTAGCTTCCCAAGTTCCTATATCCCAAAATCCCCAGATCCCCAAATCACCAATGGTAGATCGAAATCACCACATCCCGAATTCTTAAACCATACCTAAAAAGTTTCCATCGAAAAATACTGAAGTGTCCGGCCGTAGAGAGTAATTAACTTTCATTGAATAAATAAAAGCGACGGATTAAAGTGGCGTGTAGAGGATTTATTCAGTGTAGGCAGTTTGTCGGACGATTTCTTGGAAGAGTTCCCGTTTCATTTTCATTCGCATCGACGACCTTTCTCTCGGTTTGCTCCCTGACTGCTCTCCGAGGAGAAAGGGAAAAAAAGCAACGGAGGAGGGAAGACACCGACGTTAATTCTGGTGGAACAAGCATAAAGCTCTGAATCACCGTGAACCGGTCCCGTACCGTAAAACGCGATGCCTGTTGTGTGAACGCGGAAACCACAAGGAGGCAGCAACTCCGTACGGGTCACGGAAGGATTCCTTTCTCCTCCTTCGTCATCCTTCTTTCGCTCCTTTTTCTTCCTTTTCGAGTACGCTTCTTCCTACTCCTCGCCCACGTACCGATACGCGCACCATTTTTTATTATACCCGAGTTCGTTTAATCATCGCGACTCAAAATATGCTCGCAATCCTTAACTGTTATCTTCTGCCATCAGCGACGGCTGCTAGCTACATTTAATTGCGCTAATTAACACGGTACGTGGCGGATGATTCATAGACGTTGAAAATTTTCCAACAGAATTTTCCTATATCGATACACGTGGTAGGACATTTTATTTAGGATCGTTGGATCACTTTCAGTCTCAAAGTGGGTTTAAACATTTTTGGACTTCCAAGTACTAGGAGTGTCAGGTCCTCGAGTTTTTAGAAAGCTAAGTTCCTAGGCTTCAGGTTCATAAATCCACAAGTTCTCGGATTGGGTTTCCAGATCGTCAAATTTCTACGCTCTCAAGTTTTTATATCCTCAAGTTCTTAGATCTCAGATCCTAGATCTCTCAAGGTCCTCGCCAAGTTCCTATACTCCAGATTTATAAATCCACAAGTCCACATCCCAAAAGTTTAGCTCACCCTACTCCAAATGTACAATAAATGGACCCTAAATCCCAATTGTCCAAATTGTTCCAATTACACAAATCAACCATGACACCATCATTCCATCATAAAAGAAGTTTCCTCAAAGACCGATTTTCTCTCTTAAACATTCATCTTATTTAATAACCAACGTAACACAGCCTGAATAAGAGTAAAAAGCGAAGTAACGTAATAATAATGTAGGAGATGTTAACAAGGTGTCTCCATTTATATCGAACGAGGCCGGAGATCTCGATGCGAGGCAAAGACGCTTTCGTTTCCCGGCTAAAGGTTAAACTGTTGCTACAATCTAACGATGCTACGCGAAATGGGAATCGAGACAACCTGTTGATCCTGTAGCTTCCTTTCACTCCCTGTATCATGAGCCAAGAGAAAGAAGGGGCGATGTTGTTCCACTGATTTACCAACCACGCGATCACGATATTTCGTAATCAACTTCGGATCTATCGTAAATTGGACCAATTTTTACCTCTGACTCTAACTACTTGTCTGGTCGGATCGAAGGTTAATTTTACGGCGGGACATGTTCGTGTTCTCTTACAATTTTCAGAGGGTATTGGTATGAAGATTGGTGGAGGTTAGGATGTACTTGTGAATTTGAGAGAATTTGGTAGCGGAGGTTAGGTGATGGAATTTGGGGTGTTGAGAGAGAGTTAGGTGATGAGGGAGGGAAGATTCTAAGGAAAATTTGGAGGACTGTACAAGGTTCGGATCTATCGTAAATTGGGGCGAGGTTTACTTCTGTTTTGTCTGAATCTACTTGTCTGATCGGGGGATCGAAGGTCAATTTTATGGAGATCGAGACATGTTGTGGTTCGCGTTCTCTTACAATTTTCAGAGGGTATTGGTATGAAGATTGGTGGAGGTTAGGATGTATTGTGAATTTTAGAGAATTTGATAGCGTAGGTTAGGTGATGGAATTTGGGGTGTTGAGAGAGAGTTAGGTGATGAGGGAGGGAAGATTCTAAGGAAAATTTGGAGGACTGTACAAGGTTCGGATCTATCGTAAATTGGGGCGAGGTTTACTTCTGTTTTGTCTGAATCTACTTGTCTGATCGGGGGATCGAAGGTCAATTTTATGGAGATCGAGACATGTTGTGGTTCGCGTTCTCTTACAATTTTCAGAGGGTATTGGTATGAAGATTGGTGGAGGTTAGGATGTATTGTGAATTTTAGAGAATTTGATAGCGTAGGTTAGGTGATGGAATTTGGGGTGTTGAGAGAGAGTTAGGTGATGAGGGAGGGAAGATTCTAAGGAAAATTTGGAGGACTGTACAAGGTTCGGATCTATCGTAAATTGGGGCGAGGTTTACTTCTGTTTTGTCTGAATCTACTTGTCTGATCGGGGGATCAAAGGTCAATTTTACGGCATATTTGGGATTCTAGGGAGATTTGGGGATGTAGGGATTTCGGGATTTAGAGATTTCGGAATTTAGGGATTTGGGGATTTAAGAAAATTTGGGAATCTAGGGAAGTTTGGGGATCTGGGGATTTGGGGACTTAGAGAATTCGAGATCTAGGGATTTGGGGATTTAGGGAAATTGGGGAATCTAGAGATTTCGGAATCTAGAGATTTCGGAATCTAGAGATTTGGGGATTTAGGAAAATTTGGGAATCTAGGGAAATTTGGGGATGTAGGGATTTCGGGAGGTTTACTTCTGTTTTGTCTGAATCTACTTGTCTGATCGGGGGATCAAAGGTCAATTTTACGGCATATTTGGGATTCTAGGGAGATTTGGGGATGTAGGGATTTCGGGATTTAGATTTCGGAATCTAGAGATTTGGGGATTTAGGGAAATTTGGGATTCGAGGAAAATTTGGGGATCTAGGGATTTCGGGATTTAGGGATTTCGGAATCTAGAGATTTGGGGATTTAGGAAAATTTGGGAATCTAGGGAAATTTGGGGATCTAGGGATTTGGGGACTTAGAGAATTCGGGATCTAGGGATTTGGGGACTTAGAGAATTCGGGATCTAGCGAAATTTGGGGATCTAGGGATTTCTACGACATGTGGTTCGTGTTCTCTTACAATTTTCAGAGGGTAC